CTGCGGTTAAAACAGGCTGAAAGCTTAAATCACGGTCCCATCCGTGGTGATTCAAATACATTCAACGTCAAACAATTCTTCTACTCTTTTCAAGCAGATTGATGGTTACGTTCCTTTTGTAAAGAGTTTGATTAGCACAATCGTGAGACAAGAAGGAATCAAGCTTAAAGTACAATGGCCGTTGTTTGAAAAACTCAGTACAAGCTGGATTTCACTGATAGATAATGAAAATGACAATGATATTGATAATGATTTTGATAATAGTAATGAGTATCTGATAATGAAATGATAATTACAATGATATCAACAATTACACCTTATATTAATAATGATAATGATCCAATAATAACTATAACAATATCAACAATGATAATGGTTAACGATAATGATAATGTCTATGATATCGCTAGCGTTAATGATAATGATATCGATAATGATAATGATAATAACATTGAAGATGGCAATGAGATCGATATTGATAATGGTATTGATAATAACAATGACTTCGATAATAATAGCGGTAGTGATGATGATGACAATGACAATGACACTGACAATGACAATTATAATGAGATTTGTAATGATAATGATAAAGATTATAATAATATATTAATATTGAAATTGATAATGATAATGATGTTACTTGAAATACGCTCGATAATTCTATATAAAACCATTTATTATTAATCATATAAACAAAAGATATTACCATTTTTCATCTTGCAACATCTGAACTTCTCAATACAGTAGAGCTTATCACAGCTACTTTTGTAGAAACCGGTCATATAAAAACCGTCCCGCTGGCATTCACTCCATCCCTTCCGGTCAAATGAAATTGTAACATCTTCGTCGTAACAGTCTTCATAACTGCTGGGATGGTTTTGTGGATGACAACATTTTGCCTCGTCTATGTTGTTCAAAAACGCAGGAGGAGCATAACCAAGTCTGAGGCCATTCATGAAATAACCGGATGGACAAAGTGCCCAAACGTTATATCTGAAAAGAGTAAAATAAAAGAGAGTTTTGATCAACTGGGTCTGAATAGTTATTGGCATAAATGCTAATAAATAATAATAATAATAATAATAATAATAATAATAATAATTGCTAATAAAAAATGCCTCCGTTGATAGGAGTCTCAGCCAGTTGACTTATCAATGACTGGG